ATCAAACTAATACAAAGTACAGAGAAGGAGATGCTGAGAAAAAAGCTCTTAATCTCAGAGCATTTTCAAGAAGAACTGTTATTTCCTTGATGTCAGCCAGGCAATTTCTTGAACGAAGTGTGAATTGTCTTGTGTGGTGCACATAACTCCCAGCCACTTCCTGAAGCCTCAGTTTTCACTCTTCCCAAAATTCCATACTCGACAACTGGACGGAAGGCTATGCTGAATTAAATTTTATTGTTCTGGTGTTCTCCATCCATTTGCAATGCACATAATCAGGAATTCAGCCATGTCCCAAGAAACCTGTTTAACCTAATGAGAGCAAATGGCAATGGGTGTTCCTTACTCGGGACAGCAGTGCCAATGTTTCTGCTTAATTGGGACATATTTGGCCGGTTCCAGTGCTTCAAGTGGTTTTTAAACAGGTGTTTAATGGGTGTAGAATTCTGAACTCTGCCCTTTTGATACAGAAGTTGCCAAATAAAGATTAACAGAAATAAAAAAATCTAATGTGGGATAAATAATTTTTGTCTTTGTATATTTATTCAGCATAATTTTTACTTTAACTTTTAAGTCACGGGCGGGTGGGGAGGTGTTTCTTCTCATAATTGAGAAAGTCCATTAAATAGAACAACAGGATGTCTAACAGGGTGTCCTAATTAAAATTACCCTGTAATTTGAACAATACATTCATTTGTATGTAGCTAAGGTTGACCTAAAACCCATCTAAATCAGGAAAAATTATTATACACACTTTTTTCTGCTGAAAATGAAGTAGCATTCTGCCAACAAACAGCATGATTCTGTTGTTACACAGTATTCTAGAGTAAGGTTTTTCTCTTCAGTATTAAAAAAACCCCAATGTTTTGAGAAAATTTAAACCAGATTTCTCTCCTGCCTCCACCCTTTGATAGTATTCATTCATGGTTGAGTTTCTGTGGGATTCTGAAAGCAGAGACAATTTTGTTCTGTGCACACTGTAAGCCCATCAGAAGCCTTTGGTCGTGTTTGGTCTACTGACGAACTAATGAGCAACTGAGATAGCAGGTGCTTAGCGGGACCAATTGGCTCGGGCTTGACTTTGCTATCTGCAACTACACAGTTTCTGACTGGCTTGGAGTGCAAACCGGTTAATTTTGTTATCTTGGGGTGTGTGGGACTGCGTATGTAATCTAGGCTGTATACACAACTGGATAAATTTTACTTTTGTGTGTAAAAATGACCTACTCATGCTCTAGCCCTCGTGGTTTAAAATGCTGCTGTGACAAATTGTATTTAATATAATTTATCAAATCAAAATGAATGTTTGAAAGAAGTTCAGAAATATTGTTTGTTTTTAAAAGGGAATTCTCAGCATCTTTAACTTGACAGAAGCGCACAAGCTGCAACTTGTAGGTGTTGCTTCCCAGACACAAGATGGTGGAATTGTTTTTGTTTCTGCCCACTTCCTGGGCAGGTTGGGAAGGGGGAGTGTTTTCAAAACCACTCAAAATTGGCCTGAATGTGCTGATGGTGGATTCAACTTGAATTATTTCACCATGATTTGAGTGGAAAGAGAATCACACCCTTGTTCTTTTGAATAATCTCACCCATAATGTCTAGTGCAAAATGTAATGACACAGCTACGTACAAAAAGGGAAACTTCATAAATGCCAAAATTTAATTAGGTGCAAGAGGAGCTACTTTCCACTGAGTTATTATTCTGCTTACACCAACTTTAACATTTTTGTGTCTCAGCTTCAATGGAGTATATAACAACAAAAGAAAAGAAAGGGAAAAGTCTGATGAATGATTTGCTTAACCTACTTTTAGCTCCAAGAAGAATTGTTAAAGCGAAGATAAAATTGGAGGCTGGTGTTGTGGTCGTACACTTTTAAACCAATCAAGAGCACTTGAATAGAAAGTATTCAAATATTGGCATTATTTAAAATTCTTAGATTCTCCTCATCATTTTAAAGACCATCAAAGCGGATGTAGGCACCAGTTGTAACTGAGAGAGAATAAAATTAGTTTGATCAAACAATTGTGATGACAAGCCAATGATACTGTCATAATTATATTTTAATAACAGGTATTTACCAGAGTATTTTATATGCGCATATATATGTATGTATGTATGTATGTATGTATGTTGGTGTCTTAAGTACCTATGTATGTGTGTTTTCCAGTGGATGGTTATTTTATAGAGAAAAACATTCAGTGACACCACAGCAAGAATATATGCACAAGTGGGTTGTACTGATAACAGCTATATCTTAAAGACAGTTGAAGGAAAATGGGAGTTTCCTGTTGGAGAAACCAGCCAAGCCTATTGTATACAATGGGGTCACAGAACTTGAACATGTAGAGATTTGTGTGTAGGTTTGTGAACATGTATAGATCTGTGCAGCTGCCCATGGTTGATAGAATAACTGTAGATATCTGAAGACCTGGAATGAAAACAAGTAGTTGTGTGGATGCTATTGCTTCAGAGTCACGTATGTTGGTGTGTAATGCTACATTTGAAAGCATTATTTCATTATTGTTGAAGTCTGATCTGGTATTCTGCCCTTGAAGCCTGGTTGTAACTCAAGTATAAAAATTCTGGCTGCAGTGCTGAAAAGTCAAGTGTGGGTTGTTAAGCTAATGAAAATGGACGTAGATAGGGTATCCACACTGATTCTTTTAGTTCTCCCAGTTATTGTAATTTCCAAAGATGATGAATCTAACTGGCTAGCAAAGCTGTTCCTTAGTGACTCCTTCTCCTGAAGAAATTGTAAATAATGGTGTTGGGTGGTTCCTTACTGCCAGAAGATCTCTCTTGTAGGGTTTCAAATGTTCCAATTTTTGTTACCCTTAGAGCAGGTAAGCTGAAGGAAGAGATTAGGACTGCAGTGCCTTCTGTGTTCAGCTGAAATCCAGATACACGTCCCACAACCTCCTGCACAACTGTTTGGGCAGAGTGACTTTAGAAGTGCTGATGGTAAAGAAAGCTTAGTTTCTAGTCAGGATGGAATTGATGCGTGTGCTCCAGGAAAGTAGCAAAAGAGATGCTTAGCACTGTGACAGTAGAGATGTAAAAGAAAGTTCGTGCTTTTTATTTCCAGATGTATTTTCTGAAGTCCTTGAGAGATTTTTCCGGAGTTTCTGGATGTTCTGGGAACAGTGGTTCTTAATCATGTGCTTTATCGTTTGCCCTTGGCAAGAAAGCTCAATTCTTCCTTTTTTGAATGTAGGACCTTGCCTTATTGCCTCAGGGACGCATTACTGTAATGCATGTCACTTGAGGCTAATTCAACTTGCCACTTGGAAATTGCCCCTGGTGCAGATTGGAGCAGTGCACCATTATCTCAACCAATTTTTCATCAGAATCAGACTTCATCTGTTCTGTATGATCTGCATAGCCCTCCAGTTTATTTTAGGTTAGCATGTGAGGTGGGGACTTTTTTAACTCATGATTCCTTTGGCTTCCAGCTATGTGATAAGAGCCTTTCTTCCATGTCCTACCAAAGCAGCCCATGACATCTCAAGATGTAGGTCCACAGCAGCTTAAACTGATTGATGTTAATACCACTTTGTTGCTGTTCCTCCACTTGGGCAGTTCTGCTGCCTCCTTAGCTCCAACCCCCAAGTTTTGTGCCTGGATGCTGAGCTGCGACTGGTGTTCATGTGACTGAAAATACACAGAAATTTTTATTCAGCTGAAAGCTCCCTTTATCCAGTCCTGGCTCAAGGATGGGCTTGGGGACATATGGCAAGGACAGAAAAGTGGTGAATGAGGGGTGGGATTGTTGCAGCTCCAGTTAGTCAGCTTACATTGTAGTGCAGCCACACTCTTCAGGTTCTGGAAATAACAAGGCAGTGGTTTCAGCAAGATACAGCTGTGTGCATAGGATATGGTAGGTAAAGGCTTTGGAATTTACTTTCTCTCTAATATTTTCTAAAACTTGCATTTTGGTACACATCAGAAACTGAAGATACTCACCTCAACCTTTCCATCCTTGAGAATGATACGAAGGCTTGATTAACAACTTTTGTGAGGTTTGTTTGCTATATGTTCTTAGAAGCAGATCCGAGGGAGGGGGAGGAAACATTTTTGTAGGCAGTAGGGAATTTTCCCCCTTGAAGAAGAGCTAAAACTTCATTAACATTTCAGCCAGCTTTTAATTAAAAGTTGTGTCTGAAAATAATCTATAATGTATTTTGAATGCTGGTGAGGCATGTCAGGGCAGTACCAGCACAAGTTTCTTCTATGTGCAGTTTGTGATGTGGATCCTGTATCTTCAGTCTTAGTGTTGCTGTGCCACACGCTTGTGCTTGGTGTGAGAAAGCCCATCAAAATAACATTTGGCCTTCTGCTGATCATAAAAAGCCAGTCTACCACATACCATGTGCCCGGCTGAGGCAAACTGAGCAGAGTAGATGACTGCTGGATCCTAAATACTGCACCTGCTTTGCCTGCAAGCTAACTTGGCCTAACGCTTTTTACCATGAGTAGTCCCATTCCATTAGGTCTGCTACACTAGAAGAGGTTTTTCACTTGTTATGCTTCTGTAGGACAGGCCCTTCTAACACGCTGCCGGTGATCGGATCTTCTTTCCCCTGTCCCTGCACCACTGAATGTTCATATTTTACTTTTTCTGCCCTACTGAGCACAAGTCGTTGGGTATGATGCTGGGAAGGGGAGATTTCAGAAGTGAAGTGAGCAGCTCTGCTATGCAGGCAGTAACAAATGGCAGACCATTCTGTTTCCCTGGGTTTTGCACATTTGAGGGGATGTGAGGATGTGCAGTGTGAAATCATGCTCTTTTTTTTCCTGCAAGATTTTGATGTCAAGTCCACATGGATTATGTTTGTAGCTGTCCTCTGCAATTGGTTCTCCTACAGCAAAGCCTTTGGAGAAAAACCCTTTGCTGATGTGTTGTGCTTTGAGTAGGGCCTGTATTGGAGTTCCTGCCAATCCTTCCAAAGCTTTTTGCTTCATGTAAGATCTTAAAGATCCTTTTCTCTTCTTCTTTTAGGGAACTGGAGAGCTTGACACATCCTTTACATCCTGCATTTACTCTGACCACAGTCCTTCCCTGTTCTCACAAGCGGAGCTCAGCCCTGCTTCCCTTCCTGTTGATTCCCAGTCAGCTACATGGTAAGTTTTCATTATCTCTAGACTTGTTGCCACAAGGTAAAATTCTGGCAGACTCGCTCTAAAATCCATTAGCACTGGGCATTGAGGGCAGAGTACTTCATGCCCATCAAAGATCGTTCAGTTGTATTCCAGGCTGACTGCAAGGAAAGGAAGATAGTGTTGAATTAGCATTGGAGCTGAACTTCAGCATAGATTGTTATAGGAATAAAATATGAAGTAAAATATGTGACAGAATTAAATCCATCAGTTCTAATAAAGGAAACAGAAGAAAGCAAAGAAATATTGGACCCTTAAATCCCATTAACCAGGCCAGAGAGAGAATGTGTTAAAAGGGAGCTGCACTGTATCTTTTTTCATTGTTTGATGAAATAATCTTTTTCACCCTTTAAGTGGTGTGTTTAAAAATCCTGGTATTTCTGAAACAAAGAGAATACACAGCCACCGAGCTAGCTCGTTTTTATACCTTCCTTTTCTGAGTATTGTCCTTCAGTACAATACAGAGCCATTTCTTTGTTCTCACAAGCTAGCAGTTAAATTGTATGTAAATGTATGCAAATTAGATGCTGTCTAATAAAGAGAGTCATTAGATGGAAGAAATATTTAGTTTAGGGGAAAAAAAAAAGAAAAGAAGGCAGGTGTATTTTGCAATAGAAAAATGTAAGATTGCAAAAGCCCCTCAAACTTTGGGTGAGGGCTTTTTATAAAGCCATTTAAATATTTTCTAAAAAAACTTGCCCTACTCTTGGTCCTTTTTTCTGCACATTTTTTATGTGTATGTATGTAAACTTCTGTGATCTTTTCTTAAAACTAACACTGTGCTCTATATACGTACTTGAACAGACATGTAAATATTGTATTCTTAAATATTTGATTTTCTTAAATCATGTAGCTATGAATTTACACACATGTACCTTGTACTAGGGTGTGTTTTTTGCTTATTGAGTGTATACAGGTGACATCCATGTGATAAATTTTATTTTCATGGATTGATTTATTCATCATACACCCTGACTGGATACCTTCTTCTCACTGAATCATGTTCCTCCATTTTATCAACCCCCTCCTCAACAATTTTAAAGCTTTTTGTAAAATTTTCATTTTATTTATTCACTAGTTCTATACCAGATATGTTTCCATTTTTTTCACTTGCATTTTCTACCAAGTAATCCCTTTTGAGGTATAGACATGATTTAAGCCTGAAGCAGTAGTGACCTTTCTAAACACGATGAAGTCACAGCTTTACTGTCAGGTGTCAGAGCAACAAGATCCTAGGAATGTGAAGCTTTTTGTCATCCAAAGCTGGAGATTCCACACCTGTGGATGGAACACTTGGCATCCATCTAATCTCTGAAAGATTTAAAATTGATGAACCCTGTGTTCTTGCCACTTCTAAGGAGATAAATTTTAAGACTTTAATCTCTCTACTTTAGAATCTGTAGTCCTGCTCTTTCAGCTCTTCTGTTTGGGTGGATTAGTATACGTAGATGACATGGCTCAATTAATTTGAAGTTGTTTTTTTTTTTTTTTTTCTGATGGTCAGTTGTCATGGTTCAGGCAGGTGAGCTGATAGCTATATGTCAGCTGGCATATTTCTTCCATTGCAGTTTTGTAAGTCTGGAATTCTGAAGACATATATGTATATGTGTATAAAATATATGTATATAAAAATAATGTTGTTTAAATATTTACATATAAAGCCAAGGGATTGGCTTCCTTCCCAGAATTACTGGAACTACCTTCCCCAGGAACATTTGGACTTGAAAAATCTCTACAGCAACACTTTTCTTCTGAAACTAAACAACTTGTGAAATGAGTGACTAGTTCTGCACCCTTTGTTGTTCGAATGGGTTCTTTAGCTTGGGGTGATGGAGAGGCCTCTGTGCACAGGTAATGAATTTCCAGTTAATTATGATAAGATTCTCTTTTATTGCTCTTTCCTCCCCCATTTTCTCACTGGGTTATTTAAAGAGAGAGCATTTATGAGGGAAACTCTAGCGCAGTAGGAGTATTTTTGTCACTGTTCTAGGACAGGTCCATGCAGTGTGATGCATCTGGGACATGTCCAGTCCAGAGGTGGTAACTGTTACCTGGGAAGCTGCAGGACAGATAGGCTGATCACATGGAATGAACTGGCTCCCTGGTTGCCCAGCATTCCAACCATACTGGCTGAGCAGTCAGAACAGAAGTCAGAACACATCTGCTACCCAGTGGGAAATGTAGGCAGGATCATTGTAAGGGATGGTGGAGGGTTGGCAGTGAGTATTTTGGGTGCTCTTGAAGGTATAATAGAAGATGTAGGGTGAAGATTGCTCTGTGGGGAATGCAAGGAAAATCTGAGGTGTGATATAAGGATGCTAGAGAAAGATGAGGTTAATAAAGTGAGGAGAAACACAGGGTATAGTGGTGACTAGGAGGGATGAGGCCACATTAGTAAAAACAGAAAATGTTAGTGGTTTCCCGTTCACTTGGGGCACTGCTCTCCTAGGCTGTCTGGCAGTGAATGTCCAGGAGAACTGAGTCACTAGGGATGTAAACATTTAACATAATTGTTTTTACACAGTTTGCAATCTAGCTAGGTGTAGCTACCCAGGTTCTTCAGTTTTTTGGGAAGTGGTTGCTAATCCTGAAACCCTAACTTGGAGATTTATACTAGAAATGGGATAGGCTAGCAGTCAAAGAAAGTACCTTCTGTGTCTCACGTTCTTGAACATGATGCCAAGCGTACATGCAGTCAAGAATGATCCTCAAATGGGGGAAGAGTGATGCGCACTTAGAGGCAGGTGACTGATTAATTCCATATTCCTCTCCAGACTTAGTGTGGTCTGGAATAATCGTTCAGGGAAGGAGACAATTCAGTGCCTACATACTTTTGAGGATATAAGTCTTACACCTTGCCCATTTTGACAATAATGATAATACAGCTTTCCTACCCTTGAAGTACATTGAAAGGATACATGCATTAAAGGATGTGAGGCTTCTGTATCTTGTGGTAAAGAATCCAAAAGCAGTACTGTAGGCAGATAGGGGAATCAAAGCAGTGGTCCATCTGGTCAAGCATCATCCTGTTAAATGTCTTCAGCTGCAGTAGAGGGAGGCACAAGAAATTCAAAATTATAATAGTGGAACAACCAGTATTTTCTGTAGTGATCTTGAAAGTAAGTAAGAATTTTTAACTTGTATTTCTTAGGAGCTTGTGCATCTTTAAAGAAAATAGTTTTAAGAAATAAAATATGCCGCACTAAACTAATCCTAGAGCTAACGAACAGGCATTGGGACTAGCAGCTTTTGCTATTACCTACTGCTTATTATTGTTATTATTATTATTTCTTTTTAATTATGCAAAGTGCTAATCAGTTTGATTATGCACAGTGCTAATCAGGTTAATTATGCAAAGTGCTAATCAGTTATTCTCCAAGCACACGAGGAGAGCAGAGGTGCTGGCAGTGAATGGTGGTTCTAGATGGGGGTAGTCACGGCAGTCATTCCTTATTAAAAGAGGAGTAGGTGAGATGACAGGGGTTTTTGCTTCCATTAAAAAGTAAATAAATAAAAAAAAAAGCCATGAGGGTGATGGTTCTGGTGGGGTAATGTCGCCTTTCACAGCAAGGCAGACTTTTTTCCAAGCCAGCTCATGCTGTTGGCTAATTTCTGTAGGAATTTGAGTGCACTGATTTGGGCAAATATACTACAGAGGAGTCTTTTTAATGGGTAGTGTACAAGTTGTCCCACTTGGTAAGTCAGGCTGCACAACTGGAAAATCATAAATTAAGGGAGTTTGCTCAATCTAATGTAGAGCCACTTTTTAAGCACTGGTAAGGGGGATAGTGAGTGTGTTACATGAATGGCAGTTGATCATAGGTTTGTGTGGCTGAAGTATGCATGAGCATACAAAATGAGTTTCTTTCAGTGTAATGCCTTTACAAGCTGTAAGAACGTAGGGTGCCTTATCAGTGGAAGGTACGTTAGGCTGTGTTTCCTCTTCAGCGCTAAATTATAAACCAGAATTTTGTGTTCCTGTGAAACAGGATCTGTTTTCAGTAAGCTGTGTTCTTCTGACAATTACTGAAGATGCAGTGTGTGCCTCTTACTATGCTCAGTGTTGAATATCTAACCAGTATTCTTTATTTGATTATGCTTCAGTGTTGGTGGGGGATACATAAGCATTACTTTTTTTCAGTTAGTAATGGAGACGACATTCCCAGAGCAGAGAGCTACTTGCTCGTGAAAGTCTTGGGTAAAGGATCTTAAGAGATTTTTTTGAAGTCATTAAAACAAAAGACTGTTCCTGTATAAGGCCATCAGTACTAAAAGGTTACTGCACCAAAAATGAAAGAGAATTTTTCCTTGAAAACTAATCATTGAAGGTGCTTACTTATAGGGAGTCATGACAAATTTTCAGTTGTATTTAAGGTAGGGAGGAAAGCAATTTTCCTTCTATAATTTATGACTTAAATCAGAGCCTGAAAAGTAAGAGTATTACTGCCTTCTTGGCTTTGTGATTTCTCCACAAGACACTGAGCCTCAAAACAAGTTTGCCAGCAGATGTGCAGTCAAAAATACTCATCTATTCTTATAGATACCTATATATTCTAACACCTGTATAGAACACCTATTCTAACACTCATTCTGCTGTTAAAAACCTAGACATACCAGTGGTCCACCATCAAGTCTGGTGCCTTAGATCTGGAGGAGGGGAGTATGTCATGCGAATACTCTTAAGTGAGAGGGAGATACACCAGACAGCAGTGTCCTGAGACTCTGAATGCTTTCCTGTCCGATCAGAATCCTCTGAAATTAATGCACAGCTTCCCATAAACTGATGGTGAATCAGGTCATTGCTACCTTTAGGTGCTGCTCCAGAAGAACTCGGTTCGTTTCCATCAGACCTAAATTTAACTTTAATTAGTCCATTCCACAACCAGACTGCTTCCATAGATTTACTGTCTTGCTTTCATTTATTGTTAGTGGCTTTGGTGCCTGTGTGCTCTTTGAGGGCACTC